CTATAAGTCTGTTTTATCAGAGAGTAATGTTGCCACTCCTGCTCTTTTTTGGTTACTGTTTACTTGGTGCATTTTTTTCCATCCTTTGTTTTTTCGCTTGTTTATGTCTTTGTGTCTAAGGTGTATTTCTTGTAGCCACCGTATTGATGGTTCATATATACATATTTTCAATCCATTCTGCTTCTGTCTCTCTCTTGACTGGTGCATTTAAACCATTTATATTCAGTGTGATTAGGAGCTCTGGTAGCATAGTGGCTAAAGCACTTGACTGCTAACCAGAAGGCTGGCGGTTCAAACCCACCAGCCACTGCCCAGAAGGTTGGGCAATCCTGCTTCCGTAGTGATACTGCCTCGGAAACCCAAGGAGGGGTCGCTATGAGTCAGGGCCGACTCGACGGCACACAACAACAACAACAACATTCAGTGTGATTATAAATAATGTATAAATTATTTATATGTATGGCTGTCATTTTGTTATGCTATTTTTGTGGTGATGATGATTTCTTTGTTCTGCTTAATTTTCTGTGCTGTGTTTTTTTGTTTGTAAGTTTTCTTTTCATTTTCTTTGATGTTTTTGATTTTGTGTTTATACTGTCTTTATTATTTTCTTCTTTTTTATTTTAATGAGTAAGATTGTTAATTTTCTTTGTGGTTACCCTGAAATTCACTTTTATCTTCCTAAGTTTATTGTCTTATAAAATACACCTTTATTTTCCTAAAACTCCCTGAGTCTTTTATCGCCTTGACATCCCCTCCATTTGAAAGTTCTATAACCACCCCAAGGTATTAAAGAAATTTTCTGCCAGCAAATCTTCAAAACTTCTCTCTGTGCTTTTTCTGGCTGCTTCTGTTCTGTAATTCTGATCATATGTAGGCTGTTCCTCTCCATAGTGTCCCACATAATTCTCAGGCTTTCTTCATTCTTTTTTCTGACTGATACTCAAACAAGTTAGTGTCAAGAGATTTGTCATCCATTTCACTGATCCTATCTTACATTGCTTTAATTCTACTCCTGTATCCTCCCATTGAGTTATTTGTTTCTGAAATTTTATAGTTAACTTCTGGATTTCTTGTTGCTGTTTTCATATGATTTCTAATTGTCTATTTATTTTGTCATTTTATTCTTGCATTGTTTTCCTGAATTATTCTATAGTTCTTTGTTTTTCTTCATTTGTCTGTATTTCCCTTGATCTCTTAGAGGGTTCTATTTATTATTTCTTCATTGTAAAGCTTGAGCCAGCTTGTCATGGTTATTTATATGCTTTCATATTATCTGTTGTTTCCAAGGCATTAAGGTATTATTTATTTTTTATTATATGTTTGTGTCTTTTGTTCTTACGTTTTGTTTTGTTTTGTTTTGTTTTGATATACATGAGTGGGCAGGGTGGGCATAGTATGCTGGTTGTTCATCTGGCAGCACTGGAGTGCCCACCACATGTCTCCAGGTGTGCAGAGCTGTGGCTGGCAGTTTGAGTATAAGTCTTTGTTCACTGGTCATGCAGAGTGTCTGTGGGTGGCCTCTCTGGGCCATTGGCCACCATCTGTCATTGGTCCAATGGTGTGGAAGACAGGCAAGTGAGTGCACAAGAGTGCAGACACTGCTTCTCACTGGGACAGAGTATGAGAGGTAAGTAGGTGAGAATGGGGGAGAATGGATACTTATGTTTGCCAGGTCGGGGGGTGGGCGGAGGGCAGGTGGGCATGTAAGAGCATAATTGCTGCTGCTTATCAAGTCAGTGAGGGGTGGGTGACAGGCAAGTGGTTTACAGGAGCATGCCTGCCACTGCTCACAAAGTCACAGGAGGGGTTGTTTGGTGGTCAAGTAGGCATGTGGCATCTGCCCCTGACCAAGTGTGAGGAGGGGGCCTTTTCAGAGTCCAGTTGGGGGAAGGACATCCCATTGACACTCTGTTGAGCCATTGTTTTGTGTGCACCACCCACCTTGATGGTCTGGGATTGATGCTTGTGAGTATAGCTGACTCTGAGTCCAGGCTCCCTCCCTACTCTGTGGAGCCAGGATCCCTGGAACTCCTGCTCACTTTGCTTCCTTCTCGGTGTGTCTACACAGCTTCTCTGTCTCTTGTTGGGAATGCTGTGAAGATGCCTTCCTGTGCTTCACCTTCCTGGTTCACCAAAGGCTTTGTCTCATGATGGCCACAATGAACTAGGATGCCTAGCAGAGCATGTTGCTCTTTTCCTGTGTTCTTTTAATTTCTTCTTCCAGTTGGTGTTCAGTTCTGTTTTTCATCCTTCCATTTGCTGCTCAGGGTTTCAGGATTGTCATCTGCATCTGTTTTACTTGGTTTCTCAAATCTTTGATGTAGAGGCATGGTATGGTGTGTCTGACTAAGCTGCCATCTTGGTCCCCAGAGAATTGTTTTGTTTTATAATGGCTTTTTGTTCATTTCTTTGTTTTTCATTATTAATATACAAAGGGAGGGAGCTCTGGTAGCATAGTGCCTAAGGTACTTGACTGCTCACCAGAAGGCTGGTGGTTCAAACCCACCAGCCACTCCTCGGAAGGAAGGTTGGGCAATCCTACTTCCGTAGTGATACTGCCTCGGAAACCCAAGGAGGGGTCGCTATGAGTCAGGGCCGACTCGACGGCAAACAACAACAACAACAACAACATACAAAGGGAAAACAGACAGAGAATGGATGGACTCATTCTTATTTACTTACCAGCTCTTTTTCCTTCTTATTTTTTAACTGAGTAAAACTGAAAAAAATATGTAAAATTTAATTCATAAAATTTACTGCAATAAATGTTATTAATTAGTAAAAATAATAATAAAATTTCATGTTTTTAATATATTCATAAGAATTTAACATTTTTAAATGATAATATAGGTTTTGAATGTAGAAAATACAATTAAAATAAAAACAGAAAACATAGAAACCAGTATTTCCAAACTTTTCTCTTCATAAAGCCATCTGGAGAACATATAAAAGTACACATTCCTGGTCCTATCTCCATGTATTCTCAGTAGGTATGAGTTGGGGAATCAGGGAATCTGCATTTTAAAGCAGCCCAAGGGATTCTGGTGTAAGTGGTCTGGGCACCATGTTTGAGAAATTACCTCTGATTCATAACAAGTATATTAGTTTCCTCTTGCTCCTGTAACAAATTACATCAGAGTTAATAGCTTGAAACAACACAAATTTATCTTATGGTTCTAGAGGTCATAAGATCAAAATCTGTCCCACTGGGCTAACATCATGGTGTCAACAGAGCTGGTTTCTTCAGGAGGTTCTGAGAGGAAAATGTTTGCTTGCCTTTTCAGCTTCAATGGCACATAACAACAACAACAAATAAGCTACTTGTTTTCTGTGGTTCATAGCCCTTAGATTATATCACCCAATCTCTTGCTTCTGTCATCGTAATTCCTGCTTCTGATTCTGATCCTCCTACCTCCCTCTTATAACCATACTTATAATTACACTTCAGGTCCACCTGGATAATCCTGGATAACCTCTTCATCTCAAGATCCTTAACTTAGTCACATCTGCAAAGTTTCTTTTACCTTGTACGGTAACATATTCACTAGTTCCAGGGAATGGAACTTGGACATTTTTGGAGGGAGGGGGTCATTATTCTATCTATCACAAAAAGATAATAGAACTTTAGAACATTCAGCAAACCTCCTTATTTCTGTTTCTAGATAAGAAAACTGAGTCCTAGAGAAGAGAAATTAGTTGCTTAAGGTCACATAGCACATTAGTTACAAAGGTAGAGTGGAAATCAGCAACCCTTCCCCTCCAAGACTCATGTCCAGTTTTGTCATGCCTTTCATTCTAGGTAGGAAGCATTTAGAGGTATATAGAGAAGCCAACTACAAGTTGGAAATAAAAAGTAAAATGAGAACTTCTAGACGACAGTGAGAGGAAGAGACAGTTCCTTCACCACTGAGAGTTGTTTTCTGAGGGGGGGGCAGTACAGAAAAAAATTAAGAGGAGGGTCCCATTAGTTCCTGACTTGTTCATAACATTTCCAGAAGATTTATTTAGCACTATCCCATAGATTCATTCCCTGAAACTCACATGTGCTGTATTCCACGTATTCCAGCAACCATTTTCAGAACTCCTTAGAGGCCTTCTGATCTGATAATATTTTTCCTTCTGTTTCTGTGTTTTTCCAGAGGGTGAAGAGGAGGGAAGGTAGGAGGCCATGTGTTACTGGCTCCCATTGCCTTTTGGTTCCCATACTGGGATGAGTAAGGACAGGGAGCACTCTTGGGTGCCAGAGCCCTCCTTTGATGGTCATTTTGGCCAAGAGACTCACTGAATCGATCATGTCACATTGCTGCATGGCTAACCAAGCTTAGAAAAATGTCAAATTGTCTGGTGATGACTAAGAAGGGATTTTCCCTCATACCTCTTGAAAGAATATAACTGTTACTTTTTAAAATCTATAAACTATGAATTGTATGTTTATTTTGATAGAATGATACTTTGAGCCTTTTAAGTTGGTAAGAAATTAGATTATTCATCATATTATTTTTCTATCAGATGGTTTTGTGGTTTATTGGTAATATCTAAATTTCAATGCTGGTGACAGCTCATTCTACAACACTAATTGAAAGTATTGGCATTTCCTCAATTGGACAGTGGTTAAATACATCAGAGAGAAGGGTTTGTTATGGAGTTGCTGTTCAAGCTCCAGGAGAACCAACCAAGAATGTGCCAGCCACCCACTCCAAAACTTAGTGCAAGTGAAATCATGGCTTTGGAGGTTGTCTATTACATTTCCTTAATAACCAGTCAGTCACTGTTATGTTCAGGGAATTAGCACTGAGAGGCTGTGCATGATGTGCCTCTAAAACCCCCAGATAATAGGGCCTAATGTCAAAGCTTTTAGAAGACAGGCTGAATATACCTCAAGATTATTCTCTCTAGTAACATGTGGGTTATAGGAACTTTTGCCAAGGTGAAGTATGTTTCTTTTAATGATTTAAAATTTAAGGAGTAATTTCCTTTTCTCATTTTAAAAAATTGTCCAGGTGGCCAAAGAACATCACTCTTTGGCAGTACAAAGGAAATGCCTGCTGGCCTGGTTCCAGTCCACTCATCAAAGCTTGGCTAGAAAGGCAGCCCGGGCTGACCAGTTTTATTCCCAAATACTGCTTAGGAGAGTCATCTGGAGCTGGCTACAGGTACGCCACAGGGAAGGGTGCTGTACACAGATCTAACTGCTCAGTCCTATGTAAGACAACTAGACAGAATCCAGAGTACCTGTGGTCATCTTTTTTTCCCTCAGCAACAGTGTAGTCAATCCAGTTTGTTGCTTTGAAATGAATTTGGAAATGTCATATTAATTTTTTATTAATATAAAATCTTAAACAAATGTTTCTTTTAACAGTGCTCATCTGTATAACCATAATGTATCATTATATCAGCTTTGTTTTTATACCCATTCTTGTTTCTGATCCCATAGTGCTCCAGTTTACTAATAATCTGCTTCCATAGTCCTATAACTGTTTCTACCCCTCTGGTCCTATTATTACTATTATTAATACATTAGAGAGTATATTATGTTGGCTACCATGGCTACTTTTTGTCTTTATGCCTCTAGTTTGTTTTGTTTCTGTTTCAGTTCTCTCTTTTGCATTAATTCTTTGTCTACTAATACTGTTTTTCTCACTTCTATTCCTGTCCTCATTTCCCAGTACCTGACTGATCTAGAAGCAGCAGCAAGAATACTTTATGCACGTTTTCTTCAGAAGAAGATGTTTGGGGCCTGGCTTAATGTGGTCAGGGAGGCCAAGATTGATTCTCAGAGCAAGTACCTGATTGCTGTGGAATATAGTGACAAGTAAGTTTTTTTGATCTCTAAGGAAATTCACTTGGGAGCTCTGGTGGCATAGTGCATAAGACATTTGACTGCTAACCAGAAGGCTAGTGATTCAAACCCACCAGCCATTCCTCAGAAGGAAGATTGAGCAATCTACTTCTGTAGAGATACCACTTTGGAAACCAAGGAGGGATTGCTATGAGGCAAAATTACTTGCTGCAGTGCAGTACATTACATTGTGTGGCTTTTCTAGCCATAAGTCTTTGTAAACTCCATAGTAGAACTTGCCATGAGCAGCTGAGTAGCTCCTGATTGTTGAAGTTATCCACTGGAGTATTTCTGTTGGGAGCAACACAAAGTAATTTTCACGTGCTTTCTCAGGTGTATAGAATTCTGACGTTAGGATTGGTTAGTGGTCACTCTGCCAGGCTCAAAAGGAGCCCTTCTAGAGGCAGAAGTCTCTCTGACTGCTAGCTGAGAAAGACGTGCTGCTGAGAGAAATGCACTCCTAAGAGACATGCACTTGCTGAGAGAGAGACACACAAGAGATATGCGCTGCTGAGAGAGAGACGCGAGAGACATGCACTGCTGAGAGAGACACCAAGAGACATGCAGTGCTGGGAGAGAGACTGTTGGCTGAGAGACAGCGGGCTGAGGGAGACTGAGCATATTCCTGAACTTGAATTGTAGCCTATTGCTTCCCTAATAAACCCCATAATCTGTGAGTTCTATGTGTCCACTGCAGTGAATTTTTGAACCCAGCATAGAGGTGGTGAGTGCTGCAGGAGGAACAGTTGGTGTTAGGGTTGGTGAAAGGGCTGGAGAGAGGCAGCATGTCTAGCCTCACAGGAATAGGCCTTGGGCTACTGATTGTGATTTTGTCTTCCTTTTGTGGGGTTAGAGGAGGCCAGAAGATGCAGCCTCCTTGCCCTTTGGGCATTTGCTCACTTCACAATTGCTCTGCAATACTTTTTATGCCTGGACTGTGTCTGAACAGACAGTGTGGAGACTGTGAGATCAGGGCACTTGGAGACACCAGGCACAAGTGGGAGTCCCAGCTCACCCTCTGACTGTATGGGTGAGGGCAAGAAGGTGAGCCCCCTGGAACTGAAGATGAGGACAAGGAAGATTCCTGTCTCTCTCTCTCACAGGGACTGTGAAGAGAATAAATGATGTGAAATACATGAAACAACCAAAGTAGATGCACTGTATTCTTTATTAGTTTGTGGTCGTTAAGTTCGTGTGTCAACTTGGCTGGTCCTGGTTAAGTGACTGGGCAGCTGGATGTAGTATTCCCCATGATGAGACTGGTAATCAACTCCATGGTGGAATCTACTGTGAGCAGCTGAGTAGCTGCCTTAAGGATGTGGTCTGCTTCTTGTATATAAAGAGAAGCCTTGGGGAATGGTCTCTAGTTAATGGCATGCTTGGAGCCTGAATGTAGCCATGTCGTTGTTCAGCAACCTGCCATGCTTTGCTGAGCTTGGGACTTAAAATGGACTTGAAGTAATGGCCTGTCGTGTGGTTTGGTAACATCGGGACTGTGCCTTTTTACTCAGCCTTGGGTTTGCCAGCCTCAGCAAGCAGCAGCTGTCTGAGTGAAGAAACGCCTCTAGCTCCAGTGGGCTGGGAGCAGGAGGCAGAGCTGAAGCCTAAGGTGGAGGGGCTTTCACCCAGCCCCTAGAGCCTGGCACTTTGAACTTGGACTTAAAGCCTCCAAACTGTAAGGGAATAAACTCCTGTTTGTTCAAACCGTCCTATTTGTGGTATGTTCTTGTCAGAGTGGCATTAGGTAATCAGAACAGTTGTGGGGTTTTGGGTTTTTTTTAAGTTCATTTTTTATAAAAAATTTATTGTGAAATATAGAAAAGTACTTAAATCATACAAATATAGCTCAGTGACTTCCTGTGGACACTCATGTCACCATCACTGAGGTCAAGAGCTAGAACATTTTTGGACCCCAGAAACTCCCACAGGCTCCTTCCCAATCTTAAGCCCCTGTCCCTCCTAAAGATACCTACTCTCCTGACTTTGATGATGAACACATCATTGCTTTCATTTTCACTTTTACCTCCTAAGTATGCAGCTCTCAACATTATAGTTTTGCCTGGTTTTGAACTTTCTATAAATGGAATTGTACTGGTTTTGAACTTTCTATAAATGGAATTGTACGTATGTCAAATTGATAGTTATAATACACTGACATCATATTTAATCCAGCATATTTGAGGAATGAAGTATTCCATAGAGGTAAGTTTTGCTTTCCTAAATCTCATTATGCTTTTCCCTTTGAGAGTGAAAAAAAAAAAATAGTAATAATGATTTGCCCTTTTTTGGTGTTTTGAGGTCATTCCTCATGAGCATCAGGTACTATGGTTGGCATATTCAGTGATGCCTCCAAGTTCGTAGGTATGAAGAATACTGTATAGGTGTGTTGTGACGGTTTGTTTTCATTTGTGTATATGTGCATATGTGTGTGTCTCTGTTCTTCACAATATTTTTCTCACCTTGTTGCCACAAGGATGCCCACCTCCAACAAAACCTGCTCATTTTTGTTTAATTTATAGACAGAAAAGCTCTGACCTGAGAAAACAGATAAGCAAGTTTATTTATAATTTTGTCAAAAATAAAGAGGCACTGAAGGAGGGTATTCAGAGGCTTTGATTTTAAATAAAATGCTTGAGCTTTAGCATTTGAAGTTTATGAGTCAGTGTCTGTGTAAGCCTGGACCAAGTGACTTAACCTTTCGAAGCCTCCTGCTCCTGTTCTGTAAAATGAGAAAACGAGAGAATCGATCTTGTGAAGACTAAACAGCATAACACAGTAACTCATTTAATGCATTAATTGGCCCAAAACAAAAGCTATTTTGCGTGTGTGTGTGTGTTTACTGTCATTGTTATTACATTAAGCATCCTTTTTGGCTGCCTTTGTTATGTTTCTCAGCCACAATATACAGGCCGGGAGAGTCATTTGGGGCAGCTGCCTGATGTTGCGCAGGGTGGTTAGAGAGAACTTTCACACACATCCTTCCATCTGATCACAGTGTAAGCCAGTGGGCAGAGAGGGCAGATGGCACTGTTTTCCATTTTCAGGCAAGGGAACTGACACTATAAGTAGCAATGTGAGTTGTCCAAGGCATACAAATAACTAACGGTAGAGCCTGGACTCCAAGTATTGTGACCCCAAAACATTGTCTTCTTGCTTTATTAGTCTTCCTCCCCATTTTTCTAATTCAACCTCACTTGGAAACTATAACATACCATAGTAAGACAGTGGTTCTGTTCAGGGCTTGAGGTTATGAAATCAGTGTAGGAATTCATACATTCAGCAAATAAATTCCCGGGCACTATCTACTTCATGAAAAAGCATTGCTGTGACTTCATCACTTCCCACTTTGTTCCTTGTTCACCATGTCCCAGCCCCATTGATGTCCTACAGTGTTCCTCAGACAGGCAGAGCTTACTCCTATTCAGAACTCTCCCATGGCCCAGACCTTCACAGGGCTTCCTCCTCATCATCATTCAAATATAACTCCTCTGACCAACCTACTTCCATCCCCGTCTATCCCATTAACCTGCCCTATTTCCTTCACAGCACTTACAACTCTATGAAATTATATAAATTATTGTTTGCATGTTTATCATCTGTCCCTCTTGGTAGAGTAGAAGCACCAGGTCTTACTGCTGCTTTCACAGTTTTTGGCAAAGTGCCCAGTACATAGTGCATAGTAAATGGTGAATGAATGAATGAATTTTATTGCAGGATTGGCACTAATATTAAAAGTCACAGGTCTTGTAAAAGGAACTTCAACATTAAATAAAAAAAGTTCTTAATTTGATATGAATGAAAGAATATTGTACAGAAAAGATGAAAGGGAAGGAGAGACATCTGTTGGCCTCAGACCTGATCTTTAAATTGCAATAATGTTGAGAAAGATGATTCCTAATAAGAATGGGAAGTTTAATTTTCTTGATAGTACTTTTAGATAGTGTATGCACCTGTCATTTGTAACAGGCTAACAAAGAGGTCTCTGGGAGCTCTGGTAGCCTAGTGCCTAAGGCTCTTGACTATTAACCAGAAGGCTGGTGGTTCAAACCCACCTGCCACTCCCTGGAAGGAAAGTTGGGCAATCTACTTCTGTAGTGATACTGCCCTGGAAATCCAAGGAGGGGTCACTGTGAGTCGGATCCGACTCTACAGCAGTGTACTACTAACAGAGGTCTCCATGCCTTATTATCAGCAGTCATCATACAGTTGTGTAGTCAGAGCTGAGCTATGCACTTGTCCTGTTTTTCTCACCTGAACTAATTCCCCACAAATGTGGTTAGTCAAAAAGGTATATGAAAGAAAGATGGGTCATTTTTCTAATACTGCTGTAGGACTGTGGTTCTTATTAACCATTTTACAGTCATAGACCTCTCTGAAATACTGAAAACTACCGAGATGCATCCCAAAAAATGCTCATAGAAAAATCATATACAATTTAAATAACATTCCAAGGTGTTTGTGGACCCCAGGTAAGGACCCCTACTTTTGTGACTTACATCACATTTTTTATACAATAGATCTATATATAATTTATGTATATAAATGTATGCACATATTTGTCAAACAAAAAATAGTAACATTATCCCTGGATCTCATAGTTTAGTAGAAAATGTAATAGACAGGTAGTATATACATACATACATACACAGACACATAGATAGAGAGGGAAGGACGAGAAGACAGGTAACTGGCTGTAAGTGCCAAACCAGTGATAGTGACAATGTGCTTTCACAGCTCAGAGGAAGGAAAGTAAAATGTAGGCAAAGCTGATCTAGGAAGACTTCCCCAGTGGGCAGAGCATTTCACTTAGGGTAAAACCCAAAAAGCAAATCCACTGCCATCAAATTGATTCTGACTCACAGCAACCCTACAGGATAGAGTAGAACTGCCCCTTAGTGTTTCCGTGGCTATAAATCTTCACAGAAGTAGACTGCCTCATCTTACTCCTGCAGAGCAGCTGGTGGGTTGAAACTACCAACCTTTTGGTTAGCAGCTGAATGCTTTAACCACTGCACCCCCAGAGCTCCTTTAGGATAGAATAGTGGAAGTTAAGATGTAGAGGTAAGAAAACAGACGTGAAGAGCTGGTAGAATGGGAGATAGGGTCAAGGATGGGGAGTGGGCCATATAGCCAAGTACGAAAAAACAAACCAAACTCACTCCCATCGACTTGATTCTGACTGACAGCAATCCCTAGTGGGTTTCTGAGGTGGTAAATCTTTACAGAAGTAGATTGCCCCTGTCTTCCTTCTGTGGAGTGGCCAGTGGGTTTGAACCACCAGTCTTCTGGTTAATAGTCAAATGCCTCAGGCACTATGCCACCAGAGCTCCTTACAGCCAAATACAGGAAGTTGTAAATGGTGGACCAGATGGATGAGAGAGGGAAAAAAAATGCAGCAGCTCCAGTTCTTAGGTTTTTGTGGTGGTGTTTTTTTTTTTTTTTTTTTTAACTGTAATACCCCCTCCAATAAAAATCAACATTATCAAAAATGCCAAGCAATCAACATCCATAAAATCAATGAAGATTAAGATGAATTGCTGGACTTCATTAGTCAAGAGGCCCAGAACCTATCTTATTTGTGCCTCTAGTTGTGAAAGTTTAAACTTAGCACCTCTGCACTTTTGTTTCAACGACAGAACTCAGCTTGTCATTCTTTATACACATTATACTAGTCTTGCTTCTTCTCCTCTACTTAAGATGTGTCCTCTTCTAGGAAAGTGTTTTCTTTGCCTGGCAAAAATTCAGTTAAGACATTCTTCCCAAAACTACTGATGCTCATGACTGCCAATCGGGGTGACTGTCTCCATCATTATACTGTCCCCACTGTATTGAAATTGTCTGTTGACCCCTTTACCCTCCCCCAGGCATACTATCTTCTTACCTTTATGTCCCTAATGCTCAGCTGTCATGGGCACTAGTAAACCCCATAGCAGTGCTATCCTAAAAGGTCATAGCATTCCTTCCTACAACAGTAGAGATTCTCAGTTTCATCGTAAGACCCTACATGACCATTTTTCCAGAACATGATGCTGTCCTTGTTATTAGTTGCCATCGAGTCAGTTCCAGTTCATAACAACCCCATGTACAACAGAACGAAACACGGCCCCGTTTTGCTGCACCCTCCCTTGCCATGTTTGAGCCCACTGTTGCAGCCACTGTGTCAGCCCATCTCGTGGAAGGTCTTCCTTTTTGGCTCTGACTCTTGACTTTCCCAAGCAGGATGTCCTTCTCCAAAAGCTTGTCGCTCCTGATAACATGTCCAAAGTCTTGCCATCCTCACTTTTAAACAGTATTCCGGCTGTACTTTTTCCAAGACAGATTGTTCGTTCTTCTGGAATCCATGGTATATTCAGTATTTTTCAGCAACACGGTAATTCAAAGGCATCAATTCTTCGGTCTTCCTTACTCTTGCCCATCTTTGGTATGCAAATGAGGCAATTTTAAATGCCATGACTTAGGTCAAGGTGCACCTTACTCTTCAGAGTGGCATCTTTGCTTTTAACACTTAAAGTGGTCTTTTGCAGCAGATTTGCCCAGTGTAATTACGTCATTAGATTTCTTGACTGCTGCTCCCATAAGTATTGGTTGTGCATCCAAGTATAATGAAATCCTTGTAACTTCAATTTTTACTCATTTATCATAGTGTTGGCTTATTGGTCTAGTTGTGAAGATACTTATGTTGAGTTGTAATCCCTACAGAAGTGCTTCAAGAACTTGATGTTCAGTTTTTTTTTTTTTTCCTCAACAGAAATTCAAGACTGCTATTCTTATTTTGTTGTTGATGAGTTACCAACAGTTTTTAAAATATATTTCTAAGCTGGACCAAGGCCTCAGTGCCTGTAATGGCATATGCAGCATGAATTGTCCAGTATCTTCGCTTGGGGGCTTTGGCTGATGGACCCTTGCTGATATTGTCATTCCTGGCAGGAATGTACAGGTTGTGATCACAACTGAGGTGTCTCATAGCTTGCAGTATCGTTGGTGGTACAAGATGCCATCTCCTCAGAGAGGGTTTGCCTCACCACCCGACTGAAAACAAAAATAACCTGCCACTCTTACCCCCTTTTGTTGCTTTCTTTTCTTCATACAACTTCTGTCTGAATCCCAATTGTGATTTCCACACACTTTATGTAACATTTTATTCACATAATTATTTATAAATGTTATAATTAATATACTTCAGATAGAAAGTCAAATTTTTCCTTAGTATTTCACTTTTTTTTCCTCTTATTTTTAAAGGAGGATTTTCAAGACCACATTTCACACATGGAAGCAGTCTGCAAGATTTATGAAAGAGGAAAGATTAAAAGAAGAAAGGAGAGAGCAACTCCGTAGGAAGGTAGCTGAAATTCTTCCAGACTTCCAGATGCTGGCACCACCTTATTAGTTGGACCCTCAATAACACACAGCCCTTGTGTAAAGGTCTTTGAGGTGCAGCGAACACGAACTAGTGCAGTGCCTGGAAGAGGAATCGCAACTGGTCCATAATGTGTGTTTTTGTTATCACCACCCATCCACCTGCATACATACTGCATACATGCTGGTTTGTTTTCTGTCAGATACTTCTTGGATCAAAGGAGTTATTTTAAAAATTTGTATATCCTTTGATTTCTCCTGGATTACTAAAGCATTTATCACAACAGGATCATTCCAAAGGAACAGTCTAGAGCTCCACTATTCAAATGCATCCTATTTATTTTTATCATAATGAACTTTAAAAAGAACAAGTGTTATTGGCCTGAAGCTGAGAAGGAAAATATGTGCCTTTATAGCATAACATGAATTGTTTCTAAATGTACCTTTAATAGAAAAGTAATAAATACTCAGAAAAGAAGGCATAAGATGTCTTCTAGTACCTTAGCATCAGAAACATGCATCCTACCAGACCCCACCCCCTCTGGCCACCTGGATGGAAATCTGTTTCAAAAGGTGTGGTGAAAGTTTGCTGCAGAAAGTAGCAGCTTATCCTGATTTCAGAGAAACTGAGACACAAAAGAGACTTCTCTTGAGTGTACCTCGGTAAGCATGAGGTTCTATTCCAAAAGCTAGTAACTATCAAATGCAATCCAACAACAGCAATTAAAATGTCTGTTCATGCTCCAGATTGCACTTCCTATATAATACACTCAAATTTTTTGTCATCTAGTCCTCACCTCAGACCTATGTATTGAAATAGGTGTTATCTTCAATTCCAAGGAAGTTTTCATCTTTAAGGTGTGCTATGAAGTGTAAGACTGATAAAATGCTGCCTTCTGTGAACTTAGAGAATCAACTGCTAGAAAAAAAAACTTTGTAACAAAATACATGTTTATTCTAACAAATTCTCCTAGTCCAGTAATGCAGTCAAGTAAATTAATGTACGCAGTAAAACAAGAAAGTCCTTTCCAGTCCCAAGGAAACTACTATTTGGTGTGTTGAAAATCTGAGTTGGTAAAATAAATTTCTGTGGTCATCAAATGAATCATCCTGATGTTTTCTTACTCCCTAGAAGGAATATGTAGTGACACCACCTACAAAATGACTTTTACCTCATTTTTTCATGGAGTATGTGTGGCTTTACTCAGATAGGATAGCACACCCGCCCTAAAATGACTTTTATTTCTACATGATCTTTGTCCCTATATATCTTTTCCTTTAATGACTATACAATTGTCATCTAAAAACTCATTTTTTAAAATTTTTATTTTTAAGACTAAAGGCTACTAAAGAAAATGGGACTAAAAGTGATTCATCTTTTTTCTATCTAATTCAATATCTGTTTATACTTAAGTATGGCACAGGTCTAAGGTATTTGCTGATATTAGCACCCAGAAATCAAATACCAGTTTTACTTTAATACCAAGCCTGTAGACAAAGAACAGTGAATCCCTTATGTAAACATGCCAGGGGCCTGAAGAAATTCCATAAAGTTTTTCTCTCATAAGCTTTCTATTTTATTTTCACTTCATCTCAAGCATCAAGGAGCTCTGGTAGCATAGTGGCTAAAAGCACTTGACTGCTAACCAGAAGGCTGGCGGTTCAAACCCACCAGCCACTCCTCGGAAGGAAGGTTGGGCAATCCTACTTCCGTAGTGATACTGCCTCGGAAACCCAAGGAGGGGTCGCTATGAGTCGGGGCCGACTCGACGGCACATAACAACAACAACAACTCAAGCATCAACTAGAAATTGAGTTTTCAGGCCATACTCTGACTGGGCCACCTCTAGATCTTTTTACTTAATGAAGAGTCATAATCTGAAGAGACGTAAAGAAAATAATGTTGATGCTGTTTCCTTTAATATCTTAGAGATGATACAATTTGAGATGTTTACTGCTGACATAAGCAGTATTCCTGACCTACAAAACTGGAAAAATAAGCACTAGGAAAATGAAAGTTTCAGGTTCAGGACAGAGCCCCAGGCTGGGAAAACTTAGGCAGTAGAGAGGCAGTACAACTACAATACAGGGTTTCTCTTTAATGCTCAGTAGAAACATACCAAGAAATAGAACTGTTTTCCTTTAAAGAAAGCACTTTATTTTCCATTTAAACAACTTGGTCACAGTACATTATTTGACATAAATGGCAGTAATTTTTTAAATTTCCATTTAAAAGGCCTTGTGTCTGAGTCTGAGGTGATTAAGAGGATATGAATACAAGTATAAAAACAGTTCAGCACACAGCGTCCAGGTTGGCTTTGGAAATCCCCTTTAGTGTTGTTGGGCTAGTTACATTAGGTATTAAGTATCCAATATGAAATAAATATTCCTTGATTTCCTTTATCCTAACGTCAGACTCAGAAATGGAATCAAATGAAAAGGCTCCAAAGCCCTGACACCACAAACATAGGATCACAATGAGTTGAGCTTTTGAGTTATGTAATATGGCATCTTTTCAATGGCTCCATCTGTAAAGATAAAGGGTTTTAGTTGCATCAGTAACTGAAATAGACTAGCTCTCATTTTGAAAGCTTTACCCTTAAAGTATGAATTTTCTAGAGGTGATAAGTACTATAGGGAAGGCTAGAGGAGTAGTAAGTCATAAGCCCAACGTGGAGACAACCATCCCCGCTAGGGAATTTGTCTCCATGAACCATTCAGTTTTTGGTCTGTTGCCAACTGAAGTGTGGCTAACTGTCCATTAGCAACAGGATTAAATTTAGCAAGAAAAAAAAGTCTGTATTAATCACAGCAAACATCCAGGAGAACACACTGAATTTTATTCAGTACTAAGTTAAACAGGGCTCACATTCTCCCTGCATCCCATTTGCAATATCTAATATAAAATGTCATACTTGTCAAGCTGCTGATGAGAAGGACATCAGATTCCAGACAAGTGCCTAAAGTGAAGGTCTCTAAAATCCATTGCTTATTTGAGGAAATGCTTATTTTCAAATTGCAGGGACCAAAATATGGCTAAATATGCAGTCAGCCCATATAAAGAAAAACAAACTTGTTGCTGTTGAGTCAATTCCAACTCATGGCAACTCCATGTATTACAGAGTAGAACTCTCCAAGTCTATATAAATTTACCTACTTTAAAGTAAGCTTTGACCTCAAAAACATAAATTTTTAAACATCTTGGGTACAACTGTGCTTCTAGATGTCATATTTTTGCTTATATTAGTTGAGCTTTCTAATAAAAAGCTAATACACTACCCAAAGGAAGTGAGTCTGTTAAGCAGGTGGTCAGGTTGACAGAGAATAGATCCTTACTGGCACTGTGTTTCTGGCAGTGGAAGATTCTGGTATAGAAAAATTATCTCTTGCTAAAAATATTAGAAGTACCAAGGACTATTGCATAACAGGAAGTTTATAACAATCTTTCTGCTAGGCAGATGGTACAGTGGAAGACAACAATTACTTCATTCACCAAAGAAAGACACTATAGGCAGTCCCCAGGGTACTGTGCCTGTCTTTAAAGAATCTGTAAGTAAGAATTTGTACTTACAAATTACTTAGTTTTACTTTGGTGTAAGAAAAGGCAAGAAGCTTTTTCAGTGATTTAAAAGCTGCACGTACATCAAGTGAAGGTGACTGTGATGAAGAATTTGTTGTGTAGGGATTGGTTCAGTCGTTCCAAAGTAAGGGCATATTTGTAGCACATTAAAGGGCAAGTAGTTATAAGTTGCGTGTTCAATGTTTGTAACTCAGGGACTGCCTATACTTGGATAGCAAAGGCTTCCGTGACTTTTCAGGGACCTTAACAATATCCTAAATAGAAACACACTTATGGCTGAGGTGAAATAAGCAGCACTTTCTCTAAAACGTGCTTAAGGCTTTACTTTATCAGCAGCATCACAGGAACCTATAAGAGGTGTTGTTTAATGGTCAGTTCACTTCAGGTGGGCCCAGCTATAACCACAAAGTACTCTTTGCTTATCATTAAGAAACATTTTAAATACTGAAGGATCTCCTTTCATGCAATCCTGATCTTAACCGAATCTTTCAAATGGATCCATTTCTCTTTTCCTGGAATAGTTGACAGCGGCATGACAGTAATGTTAAGCGGTAAGTGAGCAAAGCTGATGATGTGGTTCGAGATAAGAGGACCTGCTTGTCTAGGATCATGTTCAAGGCTTGTTCCTGTGGCCAAGGGACTGCTAGATTAAGTTCACAGTGCAACTCCTTTGCCCAGTGCCTTCTCGTTCACTGGGGCCTTGTCCTTAAAAGGGTTCACAGCAAATTCTTCTGCCTTCTGGAGAGAGCCAAGACCAATAACAAAACCACTCAAGTAATTCCAGATCATAAAAGGGCTCAAAGTCTAGAGGCAGAGACCAAGGCTGCCCTAGGGCCTATGGAACACTGCCCATGGACAGCCTCTGCTTGCCCTTCCTTTCGGTACACACACTTCAGTAAGGCTTTTAAAATAGTTTTCTTCTGTTAACTGGCAACCATGAGTTTTCAAGGAACTGAAAATAAGTATCTTAATTTCAGTAAGCCAGAATAATATATAAGGAGTCTTATCCAAGTGAGAGAAACTGAGTATCCAGGTAACCCTGTTTCAGAGGTGTGTTGTTAAGAAGATGGTGCTCATCTCCAATTCTCCCAAATGACTTGTTTTCTTTTGTTTTGGTACCACTCACCTTCATCATATCACATTTTGACAGTTGTTAAAGATTTGGCAAGAGATTTAAATTACTAAGGTTTCTAGAGATTTTTATTATCAATTGTGAAAGAATCAGAGGTGGCTCTACATCTGGCATTCAAGAGACAACTACAGTTTTTGGCCACATCTGCTTCCCTTGACATCATTACTCCTCCTCCTACCTAAAACCACTACAGAAAGGAATTAGTCATATCACATCCAACTTTAATTCCAACTGAATTCTTTGACTCTGGGCCAGGAAGAGGGCATCACTGTAGAAACCATGGCCTCTGCTAACATCCCCAAGCTTGTTCTTTGGCTCA